TGGGGCTATTTTTTTTAATTAAGGTGTAATTCCTAAGGGGCTAAGTTGTCGGAAAAGGCGTCCCATAACTATGGCTGGATGTCTTCCACGAGAGACCATTTTACTTTTTAAGAGTCATTTCTAAAGTTATGCGGTCATTAACTTTGGGGGCTGTTTTACATATGAGTGCTGATAAAATTAAAACCCAAGTTGACCTCAACTTGCATCATATTCCATTGAATGTTGACAATGGAAAGAATACTTGCCTTTAGTATGCTATTATTCTGGACTAGTAACTGAGGAAGAAACATAATTTTCTTCCTTGCATAAGTTAGAAAAACTTAAAGCTATTGTGTATAGTGTCCTTGTTCACCTCTTAGCAGATGAAGTGAGCTAGCTGATAGTGTTAATTCAGATTTAAGAAACTATCTGAATCTTGGTCTGTATATACAATGTACTTGCAATATTAACTAAATCAGATAGCTCTTACAGTTCCTATGTGTACCTAGACTCCCTCCTACATTCAGTAGTTACTGAACTTGGTTAACTGGCATTGTAGTTTATTGCACCAATTTTACAAACTTTACAGTGCAATACTTGTTATTTTTCTGAGGCAAACCAAAGGTATTTCTCGAGGTTCATGATGCTTTCTTTAGCAGTATTTGATGGATCTTTTTATACATTTGTAGCTGAAAAAAAAAACACAATTTTTTTTAAAATTGTAAACCATGTACCAATTTTTTGGCTGAAATTGTGTAGGGTAAGTTAAACTTAAATTGTATTAATTGATATAAGTGTATTTCTGTAAGCAGTTATGTTGAAATAGTTTTAAAAACTAAAACAAAGGAGTAGATTAGGGCTGACAGCAAGTGGCTCACACCTGTAATCCTAGCTACTCAGCAGGCTGAGATCTGAGGATCATGGTTCAAAGCTAACCTGGGCAGACAAGTGCATGAGACTCTTATCTCCAATAAACTACTCAGAAGAAGCCAGAAGTGGTGCTGTGACTCAAGTGGTAGTGCTAGCCTTGTGCACAAAGAGGCTCGGGGGCAGTGTCCAGGCCCTGACTGGCCTGGACAGTTAAAGCCCCAGGACCAGCAAAAACAAAAAAAAGTAAATTAGTGGCTGACATGAGCTGGGAATAAGGGAAAATGGAAAGTGACTGCAAATGAGCAAAAGTTTCCTTCTGGAGTAATGAAAAAGTTCTGGAAGTAGGAATAATATTGTAGTTTTACACATATAATAAAAACCACTGAATTGTACTTTGTAAGAAAGTGAATTTCATCTTCAATTCTAAAGCTTATTACCCGGATGAGGGTGCATATCAGCATTAGAGTGTATGCTTTCCATATATGAGGTCCTGGATTCAATCTCCAGGTGCAAACATACAGTTTTTTTTTTTTTACTTTAGTTATTGTATCTTCTAAAAAAAAAAATTATTGGCTGGGAAGGTGGCTCAGTGGTAGAGTACTTGCCTTGCATACATGAAGCCCTGGGTTAGATTCCTCAGCACCACATAAAGCAGAAAAAGCAGGAAGTAGTACTGTGGCTCAAGTGGTAGAGCACTAGCCTTGAGCTGAAGAGCTGACAGTGCCCAGGTCCAGAGGACCAGAAAAAAAAATTTATTAAGCAATCTTATGCTCTAGTTTGCTTTTTTCAACTGATAAAATTTAGCAGTTACAAGGTAGATCCTTACTAGCCCTTTTTCAGAGTTTCAGCATTGTCACTAGTTGTTAACTTGCCAACATTCATAAATACGCATTTTGTAGAATTCAGGGCCTAGAGCTATCCTAGAGCTTTTGCTACCACTCTACCACTTGACTGATAACTACCTAAAAAGCTGAATGTGGTGCTAATTGGAGATAAAAGTCTCCTGGAGTTTCCTGCCAGGCTGGTTTGAACCTCGACCCTCAGATCTTAGCCTCCAGAATAGCTAGGATTATAGGCATGAGCTAACTGCACCTGGCAACAATCTGAATTTCTGCCTTTAAAAAAAAAAAAAAGATGGATGTACAGGCACACCCACACATCAACAATGGTTAGAACTGAGCTGCAACTAACACACCTGATCCAATGACTTCACTCTTCTTTACCACTCTTAATTGTTTTCTAATCACTGAAGCTAAGTGTTGGTTGTCAGTAGCTTTGCAGTCATGGAGTTTGTGATCTATAACCTAAACAGGCCTCTATCTTTATTTTTTTAGAGTGTACTACTGATAAATTCAAATATAATTAATGAGAATAATTTTACTAACAAATATAAAAAATAATCACAGTGACACTTGTTGAAAAAATGTACAATTCTTAAAGATTTGTGCTATATAAACAAAGGTGAAGTCATTCAGGGAGAAAATTCTTACGTCTACTTTTATTAACAGGAAACAAATTATTTTCATTGTATTTGCAATTAAAAATAGTTTCATTTCACAGAAAGTAATGCAGTAATTATTATCTCCATAATTATGTGTTGGCACAAAATGAGAGAATGATATCCTATTCAGATAGACTGGATGAGAATAAATTGCTTTATTTACACACTGATTTTATATTTAAACCACTGAGGACCTTCCTAATGCCTTAAACACAGTCAACCCTTATTCACTTGAGGATTGTATGTATTAAACTATATTTTTGCAACGCTAGAAAAAAATTAAAGTATTTCCTATTACAAATGTATATAAGGCTTTTGAGTTAGAAGCTATATCAAATACCTGCCAGCTTTTAAATTCTGGATACTTATCCACATCTTCTCATCCTTTCCTCCAAATAAAGTAATTCATCTAGCTGAACTGCTTTTCCTGCAGATGGGAAAAGTTAAGAATATTTGCATTCCATTTCATCTTTATCATCACTTCTACTAGCTAATAAAATGTCAATATATAAGATAACTTCTAAAACCAGCAATTCTCTTTAAATTAGGCAAAACAAACTCATCTCAAAGTCTTTGAAAAAAGAAACTAGACAGGCCAGTAAGTAGTATAGAGATTCATCTTAATGTTTTCCCCAAGTCATGTCACCTCATTAACTTGTCCAAGTATCCTCATGTGTACAAGTGACGTTTTAAAAATCATTATCACCGGGCTGGGAAGATGGCTCAGTGGTAGAGCGCTTGCCTTGCATGCTAGAGGCCCTGGGTTCGATTCCTCAGCACCACATAAGCAAAAAGAAAAAAG